AACAGCTCCAGTCTATTCGTGGGGAGCATCACGTGCTGGGAACAGAGCCCAGAGTCCCTTATAAATTTATGACAAATTTGGAACATATTTGGAAAATTTAGCAGGTTTGACTCTCTTCTTCCAATCGAGAAAGATGATCTCTCGCAGTAAGCATTTGAGCATACAGAGGAGTTGTTGCACTGAAGTGCATTTCAAACTCAGGCCCTGACTGAACTGCTAAAACTCAGTTTCAACTTTCAAGTTTCAAGTGCATTTACAAACTATTTTCGTGGCGCGGAAGTTACCCCCTTTTTTTTTATAACCATTTCTCTTTTTAGGCGTGTCATCCTTGCGGCCAGGCTAATCTCCTTTCTTTGTATGGTTCCATTTTTTTTGTTTCTTTTTTAATTTCTTTTTTTATCCCCCTGCTTTTTTTCCCTCTTTTTTGTTGAAGGATCTACATTTATTAACAACAAAAAAGCTGGAAGCGTGCCAGGGGTCCCTCACAAGAATAGCCGCAGCTCTGAGCTGACCGAGGGCCCAGTCCCACTAGCAGAGTTGAGTGTCCTCTGGGGCCGGGACCCACTAGCATAGATTTACGCTTCAGCGGTTTGGTATTCAACCACGTGCGGCGAGAGGTGAAATCCGGCGACCGTTGATCCTTTGTGTATCTTCGGCGCAGGGAGATAAGGACCGATTTCGTGGTCGTATCTGTACTATGGCTTTTTAAGGGGGGGGTGTTTTGAAGCTTCGCGCCTTGCTATTTTTTTTCGCAGAAATTGAGAATATTGAGATTTCCGTGGAAGACTGCGAACAGGCCGGCAGGAAGGTAGCATGCAGATGTACCCCGTTGGTGGAAGTGTGGATGCATACCGTTAAACTTGTTTTCTTTGCATTTCTGAAAATAAAGAAAAGGATTCTTTATATGTTTTTTTCAAGGGGAAACTGCTCCTGGGTCACACTTTTAGTTCAAAACGGCAAAAAAAACACTAAATGGCAATGTCCTCGTCCTCGAAGTTCAAAAAGGCAAAAAAAACACTTAATGGCAACATCCTCGTCGTTCAAGTTCCAATCGGCAAAAAAAACATCACTTTTTTTTTTTTTTTTTTTTTTTTTTTTTTTGTTTTTCCCCCCCCGGGGGGGGAAGGGAAAAAAAAAAGGGTTTTGGCCCCCTTGGGTGGGCCCCGGCCGAGATTTCTCGGCGTCTCGCCAGATTGGCCCCGGCCGAGATGTCTCGGCCACACCCCAGATTGGCCATGACCCAGATATATCGGGCAAACCCCGGGGTGGCCCGACCATTTTTTTTTTTTTTTTTTTTTTTTTTTTTTTCCCAACGAGGGAAAAAAAAAAAAAAAAAAAAAATGCAGCCGGGGGGTGGTGCGGCGCGGCACGACCGGAAAAAAAAAAAAAAAAAAAAAAAGAAGAAGAAGACAAAAGTGCCTGTTTCGAACAGGCACCATGTGTATAATGCGGCCCACTGTTATTGTTGCCGTTTTGAACTACGGTCGGGACGGACCTGTGGACGACTGTTTTTTTTGCCCATTCAAAACGTGGGTTGTGACCCACGAGCCGTTGCCCCTTTTTTGAAAAAGAAACGGCCGCCACACACCGGTTTACTCGAGTGGGTCCCGGCTCCTGGTCGTGTTTATGAAGATGTGCAGAAATGGCGTTGAGTTTCGTCACCGGCATATCTGCACAACCACCTCCAGATTCAGGAGTTGAGGAAACTCAACGCTGCAAGTTGGACTTGGCCCCGAGGCCCGCCAGCCAAGAAGCAGAGCCCTGAACCACCTCCCCCCTCTAGCCTACGGTTAAATTTTTTTATTATTACTTTTTTTTTT